GTTGTTCTTGGTTCTTATTAGAAAATGTGATTGTCTCGGTTAGTCTACATAGAAATGCGTCCAGATGTGAGTGACATAAACTAATGAGAATAATCAGTTGAATGTTCAATGAAATGCTACGCAAAGGTTCATCGAGCTGTCGTTGATCATGCCATTCGTCTGACTTGCATCAATTTCCTTAGCTATTCATCAATGATAGAGAACAAACAGCAAAGATGACTGCATATGAATGAAATGGGAATGATTAAGGCTTGCTTTAAGATGGGCATACTATCAAAATTCACGCAAATTGACCTGTTTTATCGAATCCCGAGATCCCGGGATTTTTTCATAACTTAATCCCGGGATCGGCATCAGAACTGCAATCCCGGGATCCCGTGTAAACCCTAGTCGCATCTATTGCTACTGAATACTCTTTGTTAATTAATCGTTCCTAATCAGAAACTTGCAAACAAACGAACAAATGAATTGCAGCACAGCAACAGTAACAACGACCGATTTCAACGACGCATCGTTAACGTCCTCGTCGAATATTGTGGATCTGATCGAATGCGATTACGATGATGCTCTTATGAGTACGTCAGTGTCGCACTCGAACGACCAAGAGCATTCGCCCAGTAATGTTGGTTATTTACTCGCAATCTTTTAGTGCATCATTTACAAATTGAGCATTCATTAAGTAAGGCTATTAACAGCACGGTCAACTCTTAGCAACAGCAACATCAGCAGCAGCAGCAGCAACTACTGCAACACCAACTCCAATCGGATCATCAGATGGATCGAAACGCATCGCATTTTTATTCGATTCAACTCTGACTGCTTTCCTTATGATGGGTAATTTATCAGCTGTAAGTTGGTTCATTTCTTATCACCTCTTTCCAGACCTTCCTTTATGCTATTATAATTATTCAGTGCATTCATTCCAGTCTCTAAAAAATCATGCGGTTACATTGTTCGAAGTTGGTAAATTAAGTGATGAGGCGTTGGACAATTTTGTGGATGAATTGCAGAATGTGAGTTGATTTTGATTGCGAATAGTTGTTCGGAAATAATAATAATAGTAACAATAGTAATAATAATAATAATAATCGGTGTGGTTCAGGTGAAGCAATTCGTTGAAGGAGAAGCACAGCGTTATTCGGAGCATGCTCAGAATTTGTTATCGACGATTCTTTCGTTGAGAGACACTAGTGAATTGGATTTGATTCGTGGCGAGAGTTTATTCTCTCTGGATCATTCCACTCGACTTCGACTCATTTCCAAGACATACCGGTACTTTACTTGTTCTGCATATAAATGTGAAATGATGATTGTTTGTGCAGGTTGATTGTTTCGATGGCTCCGCTTAGTGCTAGTGCATGTCCACTGTGCACTCCGTCTTTGCCTCACTTCGGACCCGCAGTTCCAGAGGTTCTGTTGATTTACTCTTAAATGAACGAGATGTTGAAATAAACGAATCCATTCCAACAGGTCTCTTCATCGTGGTTCCAATTGTATTTGTACTCTGAGCTGGGTGATGGTCCCATCTCGATGTTCATTGCGAAAGGAACGAGATTGGTGACATTACCGCGAATATTCTGGAAATCATCGAACCTATTGATAAAAACTTCATCTCATGAACCCATAATCCAGTCAATTGATTACTGCTTATCAACAATTAATGATACTCTCCGAACACATTCTGTTTTCATACAGGTCGTTTATTAATATTATTTTTGATATTAATTTTGGGATTATTGCTAGTCTTGTTGTTAAGGTATTATCTGTATATGTCCATTTGAGTCTTATTTGATGTCTGATGACATTTAAGTAGATCTGGTGAATGTTCTTACAGGAGTATAGTGATGTGATTGATGATAGTGAGATTGTAAACGTACCGTTCCCTTTCGTTGATTGCCATCTTGAAAAAGGTTTGCTTATTCGTATTATTATTGTTATCATTATTATTATCATTATCGTTATCATTATTATCAAGAAGTTGTGGTGTTTTAAATTTCTACTTCCACTAAACCGATATCCGTGGACTAATTACTGTCTCGTTGAGTATTTTGAAAATATCACAGAAATTATATGGTATTGATAAAGTGCAAGTGAATACGGATCTGATTCTATTTGGATGAATAATTATTTATCAGTTTGAGGTGGAAAATGTTGAGGGAAATTTGCGTACAGTGTTTGTATATGCAACTTGTATAGAATTTATATTTTTAGTGAATGAGTATTTCGACAGCATTTTATTCAGTGTTAGTATTAATAACTGAATCAACGCAGTCTTCAATAAGATTGTCACTGTTTGCTTTAGGGGAATGTCGCTGCACTTTTAATTTGTTGAAAATGATGTAGTATTTTAGGGGTAATGCGGGCAAAAGTGACAATTTATGATTATAGGTGAAACGTTTGATGAAAAGAATGCAACGATGTTCACTGAGCACGAATCAGTGAAGCGATTGCGCCACAAATTGAGTCTGGATTCATTTTGTGGTTACATTGTACTGATGAAGAAGAATCACTGCGGTAGCGCTCACACAACTGAACACCGACTTCGATCCGATGAACAACACCCATCTGCGGATAACACCAGCAAAGATGCATGCAACAAACGTTCATCATCAGTCAAGCACAATACCAACATCAACAACAATTCATTGATCAGCAAAGATCCCAGGTGGGTCTAGTGTCATCAACTGATTGCCTTGTACACTTCACTAATGCTTTTCTCATCCATGTTTGACCGACGCTCTTGCATAAGAGCTGTGGCCATCTCGTTTCCGGCCAGCCACGATCCGAAGCGAATAGATATCGTTTTGAGGCAAACATTCCAACTTGTTTATCACTGAAGAGTCCTCCATTTCCAAAAAAAATGATTTCCATTCGGTAATTTATCCTCTCAACCCAATTTATCCGTCGTTTAACATCGATATGAATTGGCTGAGTTAAACGAACTGAGGATTTCTTCAATGAGCAATGGAATTTCGGTCAATTGTGAGCGGGTTTAACGTTACGTAAAGTTTCAAGTTTTCTGGATGAGATCTTGTATTGCTGTGTTCGTCTGATTGCGAGTGTGAAATGTGAGGTCGTTCATCGTTTTCCATCAATAGTTTTGATACCCATCGGTTGATGAAGCTATTCATACCCACAAACAAACTTCTGATAAAACGATCACGAAAGCAACCTTTAGCTCACAAATCAGTATATTCTGATGAGTGGTGAATGAGATATATAAAAATGAATGAATGGATTAATTCAGGAAAGTAGGCTCAAGTAGAAATTCGTTATCAGCCGGTGAATCGCTATCGGATTACGTTTTACTTGATTGTATATTTGGCATTCCACTGTTTGATATTCAACTAAATACAACCATCTGTGAACGTATCAAAACAAATAATTTATTCGATTTGAAAAAGTTTGTCGCTATTTTTTTTTTGAATTCATCCACTACACTGATATGTAGTTGTTTGTGTTAATCACAAGAAGTATTATTTATAATATCTATCCATCAGTTGTGTGCAGTCAGTAGCAAAAAAACTTTAAGTGTAATAAAGTGAGCACACATCACTTCTCGTTGCCATTTCTCCGGATTTGCTGAAATGACTCCATTTTTTTTTAAATTTGAAGAAGACTCCATTTTTTCTAACAATAAGTAGAGGCTGTGAGGAGTCACTTGCTTTTCTGTCTAACACTTTGTTTTAGTGATTTGACACGTAACATCAATTACATTCCCGAGCCATTCGCTTTCTCCTGTACGCGGGACTCAAACCAAATTTTGATCACGTACTCCAGAGTAGTGTTCGTCGGGGAACGCGGCCCCGTCGTTTTTCTCCCCGCGAGGACACCCCCCCCCCTCGTGCGAAAAAGTGCTCCCCAATGAACACTAGTCCAGAGTATTGCTCAAGATCGAATGGTGTACCAGTTTCAATAATAACTTAACACTGATTATAATAATACAATTGAAGTTTATCGAATGCGTCGTTTGCAAATCGTTATCTAACTGAATCGCTCCGACAGATGATCGATCGTTACCAGTTACCAATAATCAATGATCAGGTTTCAATTTTATCGCTCACTATTGATCGATATTATCCCGATCGAAACATTGAATATACTCATGTTGAGTGCTGCTTCAAGGGGATCGTGTCGAACGAGGACGTTGCCAATTCACGCTATCAACCTCCAGCGCAATCGCTCCTATTTGATGGTTCTACAATCAGTTTTGTGAATTGTTGATGTGTCGTTCATGCGAACAGTGGATTTCAAACGAGCCGCGTGACAACGGTGATGAGCACATCAACCTTATTGAGGCCATAATCAATCAGTCGATCGAATAGACTGTGATATCAGTATCACTAGTGTTACTGCTGAATGTTGTGTCACTTTAATCTCGTCCGATTACCGTGTCGATAATTGTTCATTCAAAACATTTTCCATATGAAATATTCCCATTTTATGCTTACTTTCCATTGGTGTATCGTTAGTGAATATTCCACAACGTTGTGAGTCACATTTCTCTTATTGGTTAATTCAGGTTTCATGTTTGATTTCAACTCGAGTCGGTTACCATCCCAACTCGAGCCTTATTCGTATTATCAACTTATTGCTAGTATTGTTAATATTATTATTGTCTTTTTTATCGTTGCTGTTGGAGTGGAATTTCGGCTTACAACCATGATTCTTTCCAAAAGTTTGGCTGTGACCTAAATTGTTCTTAAACCGAAACAAGTTTCAACATTGGAGAATGAAATAATGCGTGTCAGTTGTCGATGAAAAGAATCTCTATTGATTACATAGAACATGAACAGCTTAGTTTACAGATTACGTCTGGAGTGAGGATAGAATTTCTGATGGGAATCCAAATCATTTCGTGCGAGTAGTTATCTCTAAAGAGTGCTAAAATCTGATTCACTTCCCTTCTCGTTCACCGACGATTCCTCTGCTCAAAATATCCCTTCTTGAAGACGCTTTCTTCTACCATTGAAAAACGAGAAAACACACTACATCGAACGTCAACAATGACTGAATTAATGCACGAATGTTGTTACGTAAGCCGAACAATACTATGTAGCGACCGAAATCCTATCTCGAATCCCCTCGTACGCTTGATTCTGCTTC